ATTTGTGGTCGTACATGCGCCACACGCGCTGTCAATGTATAGTGATTGGACTTTTCAAGAATGCGATAATGTGAAGATGGGCAACATGTTCTGACACCGTTTGGCAGGTCACATAACAGCTTTGTGTTTCAAAGCGTGCCCAATGGCCGAAGACTGGATACCATGCCCACCATTTGGACTACCACGGGCGGGTATTTATGGTCCGTCAGTGGAACTCTTAATTGGCAAGTCCCACTCTCACACCAAACTCAAATCAACGCTCGATCTCTGAGGATGGAGATTGCAAGGGCTTAGAGAAACAGCTCATCGACCTCCGACCAACGCGGCCGAGCGTTGCAGCTGCCAATGGCTCGGAGCCTGCCGCTCGATGTTAGCCCCTCGACGTTCTTAACAGTGCCTGGGCTGAGCTGATCTGCGGGGTGGTGCGAGGAGAAATCCGAAATTGATTCGGACAGGTGCAACCTTTCGACTTTCTCTATTCACTCGAGGCTGGCTGTGCATTCATAATGCGCAGGTGACCTCTTTGACTAACAGATTCCCTTGTTCGGACATGTTCCCTGGTGGGGCTTTTCATTAAAGGCTATACTCCAGCAACATGCTCTTCACACGCAAGTAAGCTCAAAAAACATAGTCATCAGTTTCGCCACGTGTTTGGGGAAGAAGCTGATGCTATGACCCTGCAGGCAGGTCATACATCTCAGTTTGTATGTGATCGCCACTCCGGCGCCTGCATGAAAGTCTCCGTTTAGTTGAGCAGCTCGGAAGATTGCCAGATCTAGGGTCTGGAGGAAAACTCACTCTGACGGTTTCAGTGTCTCGCCAAACGTGAGACCTGCCAGTGCCACCATTGTCCAGGGATGATGCCGCCCAGCCTCAGATACGCGCAGAGTCCTGGTGCGCAAGCACAGGGTTGTTCCTCAGGGCACTATATTCACTATCTGAGTGGTTTGTTTGGTGGGTTCAATCGAAGCCTCTTCTGCAAAATTGCCATTACAAGGCACGTGAGCCTTCACGTGAGCCTTCACGTGAGCCTTCACGTGAGCCTTCACAGGAGCCTTCACAGGTCTTTAGGGTGGGATTGTGTCACTCTTGGGCTGCTTCCGGTTGAGTCAATTGAGAGGTGCGCTGGCTGGTGTGTTCCAACTGAAGATGTAAATGGTGGATCTCTTCCTTGGAATCGGTTTGCCACAGCGACATGACTTTCCCACGAGCGGGCGGCCATCTGGTCCCCAAACATAAATATAACCAAAGATTGAAGAGATATATGAATAGATGGAATTTCACCTTTGACCTGCCACCGCTAGTGACAATGCTTCGAGAACCATGTACTTGGTCGTTGCCAGCTTGTTATCACAGTTTCTGTTTTGCTTCGCGGGTGAGTTTGACAGAAACAACGCCTTTTATTGCAAACGCGCAGTCATCCTCAAGTAGATCGACGCTGAGCAGCTGGTTGTTTAGTTAAATGGTGTCCCTAGTTGCGCAACCTTTTGATATTGAAGAATCCATATCCACTTTCCCTTTGTATTCCCTTTGTTTCAATCCTGTTTCAGATGGTATATATACTACTCCCTTTTCCGAGTCTCCTTGCCAGCGGCATTCCGGGCATGTCCACTGTTCGGCGGTTGTCCAAGGCAATCTCCGCTGCTTTAGAACGCCCCCGCAACGCCTCACCCTGGAGACGCGCTGCGGCTCTGTGGGCGAGGAGGTGCCGGCACGCTGGCCGGCGCTATCTCGCCGGAATGAATCCGCTCGCCCCCGGTCGCCCGTTGAGTTTTGGTTTGGGGAGGCCATACGACGTCCTCACCGGCGCGGCTCCCACGTTGTTGGCCATGCTTCTCGGCCGCTTGGCGTGTCGGCCTTCATGGGTGCCAGAAAGATTGGTAGTTGTATTCAAGATTCAATTTGGCCGGGGGGACGTTTTTGGCCGATAGGTATGTTTGAAGCTATTACTGACTATGATGTTTTAAACAGTTTTAGGTTTACTTGCCAGAGGTGCTTGGAAAGAGGACGTTCTTGTGTGGGTGGTGTGTCACTTTCTCAAGTTTCAAACTTTTGAAGAGCATTGCGCCTTTTTGATCACGCTACTACTCACTAGGAGAACTACCCACACAGTTGGACTCTATACTATGGACTGACGCCGGGCGTAGCCGCCCACTGGTTTACGGCCGGGGTTCTTGGGTGCTCCCTGATTGGTTGGAGGGGGGTCTCAAGACGGCCCAAGGAGTTGGACTCACTTCTTGGTCATGAGGAAGCCTTCGCCGATGACAATGATCGACACGGCGTTTGTTGGAGCCTGCTATCGCATTGTGGGAAGTCCGTCCCCGAAAGACCGTAAAAGAAGCCTTTTGTACAAAGAATGCGTCCGCACGCATGTTCCGGAATTTGAACCTGTCGCGGCCGTTTGTAGGTTGGCGTTCAATAATCTAGCCAGGGAACATACCGAGTTCGCAGCGTGCGGACTATATACTTTATGTTTTGCAGCGCGCGCAATGGCCGAGCACAGCGCAACCAACGACGAGGAGACCACCGGTCCGACGACTTGGGCAACTCCCAACAATACTGAAACTTTGAGCTGTGCAACTGAGAAAACCGATCAGATTCGCGGTGAAGGCGGTTCCCCACTTCAGCGACTTGATCCACGTTAGATCCCAAAACTCCCTCATGGGCGCTCTCAATATTTACTGTGTTTGTATGTAGCACTTCCAGCGCTTTTGGGGTGGCAGAGGCAGAAACCCCAGCAGGAAGCCTGCGCGAAAGGAGCGTCATACACTCACATGTCTTGCTCCGCTTTCATCAGAGGCAAACGGAAGGGTAGTGCACAGAAAGGGTTTTGCAAAAACCTATTCTACTAACATCGTGGAAGGCGTGGGACATTCGTAGAACCCAAGGCTATTCGTGGACAGTTCGTGGAATGGTGGGCCAGTAGGAGAACTGACTGCAAGAAATTCCAGAAACCTTCGCAGAACTTCGTGGAAGGTATTTTTGATGCACTAACTTCGTCTAAGCGATTTTTGCTGACCCCCTTTCCCCACTCATTTCAGAGCGGCGTGCGCGCTGCATGAATTCCTTATAGGCCATTCCATCTCCACAGTTCCCACTCAGGATCCCATGTCCACCCTTGGGACCACAATGGCCGGGTATTCAGTCCGTCTTGGCAAGTCCCACAGTCTCACACCAAGCAGACCCAGTCGCTCAAATCAACGCCTGATCTCTGAGGATGTTTAGTGGAGGCTGAATTGGAGAAGCAACTTCTCCGCGGCCAAGGCGACCCAGGCGGCCGATCGCCTGCTACCCGCCGGTGTCAGGCTTGATGAGACCCACAATTCCCTCCTGCGCGGGTTTGTAGGTTTGTTGCCACTGCGCTTTTGACATTGATATTTCAAGTTGGCGCGCAGATTGCCTTCACCAAACCGCTTCTTGTGCACTTTTGGGTGAACGCTGCAGCCACGTGCCATCTTTCCTCCAAAAACCTTTGCAGAAATCATAGTTGCTCTTCATATTCCAATGATGGCAATGGTTTCGTTAGTCATGTGTCTAGTTTGGGCGCTAAAGTCTTGGAGGGAGCCCGCCATGCTCGGGAGCCCGCCTTGCTCGCGCCAATCGTTGCGCTGTCGCAGGTCTTCGGTATGGAATGGGGTGCCATTGGCTGCGGGAGATGGGTACGGAACGCCGCAGGCGCGTCCGCAGTGCCAAGAGAAGCCGAGGTTGAGCGGCAGTACAAGTCAACCCGGTAGATGTAATTATTACGTGAATGTGTATAGCACTGTTCGGTTCTAGTCAGGTTGCCCTCGAAATTCGAATGCTTCAAGGAGAAGAGCAAATCTTTTTTTACGTGTGCTCCGCCTATGGGCTCACGCTAAACATCCTTGTTGAAATCCAAGTTCGAGCGACTTCAGGTCAATTCATAAGTGGACTTCGTTCATGACCAACCCCATGTCCTCAGAGCAACCTCAGAAAGTGTCAGCGACCGCACACCAACCAACAGGGCAGGAAGGGTGGAGCCATGGATGCTCCAATGATCCGGCGAAACGCAGCGGCAGCGGTACGGTTGCCATCGCCGGCTAAGAGGGTCGTCAGGAAAAGAAAGAGGGTGGATGAGACTAGTGCCAGACCAGAGCTGAGGCAGAACAAACTGGCGCGAATGGTGGGTGTCTCCAAGCTGCGGGGGCGGGTTTCGAAGTTGGGAGCAGCCGCGCGCCCAGCTGAAGATCCCAAGCCTGCGGAGCGCTCGGAGTGCAAGACCTTAGATGATTACACAGCGGCAGACAGTCTCCGAGACCGACTTTTGAAAGGAAGGTCTCCGGAAGTTTGCTTGAAACTCATGTCTTTTCATGTGTTGATGCCGCTGCCAAGTGCACCAATCACAGCCCCTGTGCAGCCGGCAAAGGGCCTGTCTGCTAGGTACCTTTCTTCTTGGGTGTTGATTCTTGAAGCGTTCACACGAAGGGGAGTACTTCAGGCAGATGTGGCACCGCTGTGTAAACAAACGAGCCAGGCTGGAACAGGGACTCATTACTACCTTGGCCCCGCTGAAACTGTGAGGCAGTCAGAGCTGACGCAAATTGGTTTCCACTTTCGGGCTACCGCAGTGCAATCTAGGCAAGCGTTCTTTGAAGAAGTTCCTCGCGTACGTGGGAACATTATTCCAGAGCTCTCAGAAATGGTGGCGCAAGCAGCGAAAGTCGCAGAGCTACAGAAAGAGCAGCCTGCGCACCCCCTCCCCCCCCAAACCTACAAGACCGACATTTGCCAAGCCACGCCAGCAGCCGCCAAACACCATGTGACCTTGCGCCCGGGTCATGTTGTAAAGCCACGACGTGACAGGGGTGACGTGAGGTTCTTGCTGCACCTACCCACTCCCGTGCCCATAGAAGCAAGACCCCACAGATGCCACACTTGTTTGCGCGGGGAACAGGAGGCGCAAGACACGCTGGACTCTGGACCAAATTATTTTTCCATCACAGATGCTGACTTGGCCGCAGCTGCGCAGGAAATTTGTCCCAAGGCCCGCGTCTTGAGGACAGCAAAAGATGGTCTCATCCTGATCTCCCCATTATGCCTTGTATATCTTCTGAGGAACTCAATGTCCGACAGGTCCGGCGACGCCTTGCAGATCTCTACGCTGCGAACCTGCTAGCTATGAGTGCTAACTTACCTTCACCAGACTTTCTCATGTGGGGTTTGTCAGCGGTGCCACACCCTTCTGCTTTGAAGGCCATCCTCTTTAACTTCTTTGAGGGCTTTGTTCGGCGCAGAGTCGAGGTGTTGGTAGACTGGTGCGCTGGTTGAAGTTTGCAATTTTTGCGCCCTCCTTTTCTGTTGTTTTGGGGAATGGTTAGTTTGTTCTCTATTTTGCCAGCCCAGCTTCCCTTTTGAACCCAATACCAACACGTCAGGCAAATGCTGATGAATGGTCAGGGAATCAGGTTTGATGGGAACTTTGACTTGCCCCTGCAAGTTTGCCAATACAAGGACTTAATAAGGGCCAAAGCCTACGACGTCGTACAAAACCTTGCCACCGATGTGTACCACATTAACTTCTGTATGCTATTGTACGCTGAATTGCCAACATCGTACCCTGATTGTCAGGACCAAAGGTGGATAAGGGTGCATAAGGTCGCATTTGCATGGTGTGGTGCTGACGGGTCCTTGCTGAAACCAATATCTCTGGCGAAATCCGAAAGTATGCCAGAGATTGAGCGTGACTTCAAGCCGTGGATCCAAAGGATGCAGCAAGTGCGCCAAGAGCACGGTCTATCTGCTGCGGACACTGTCCCAGTCTTTCACTCCACGGATTCCTATGGCAAGCACAGGAAGAAGCTGACCCAGTTCTATGTCAAACACTTCCAAACCCTCCAGATCACAAGTGCCCATGCTACTCCGAAGGCGAACGCCGATGGCACGCGCTTGCTGGGAGATTTCCAGTCCCCAGTTGCTGCCATGGTGACTGTGACAGCAGACCCGCAGCACGATTTGTTTGCTTTGAGGAGGGTGACCAGGACGGTTCCACGACATATAGTAGCCTTCCCTCTTTCCAATACTAACATGGCCTCCAGGGAAGATCTAATTTGAGAACTTTTCCGCCTGTAGGACGGATGCCTGCGACTACATGGACTTTATTTTCGACCACAGAGATTTGTTGGGCCGCCTCAGCACTGAGCCCTGCCCATTGGATCTTCCAACATTTTCCAGGCCCGACATGACCTTGACAGACAGTCAGCGGGACCTGCTACGAGCTGCGGTTGAAGGAGGTCTGACATTGCCGGTGGAAAACAAACATGAAGATGTGAAGGGCCTCAGGCGGTTTACGCAACAGCCGTATGTCCACAAGTCTGATGAATGGCTGAGTTTGTTCCAAGCTGAGCCGCCGCGAGGCGTTCTTTGCCGCATTGCGCGGCGCTTGGATGTTTCGCTGAGTCCTACCAATGGCCCCTGGCAGTATCCGGAGAAACAAGACTTTCGCGAGGAGATTGCCAGGATGAGGTCATGGTACGAACCTGGGCGCAGGAAGTTCCGCCGTGTACAGGATCTTCGAGACGACAGCGCTGCCCTACTTCCTGGAGCCCCAACAGTGTTCACTGCTAAAGTGAAGAAACATTACGCGCAGCTGAAAACTCCGCTGAAGGAAGAAGGTCTTTGGAAGTGGGCGCTAGTAGCCCGTGGTTTGCATAAAGCAGGTGTGCCTGTGGTCAGCGGCACCATCTCAGTGGAGCAAAAGTGGAGCCACATCAAGTCCATGCTCCCGCAAGAAGCACGACGTATCTCCATGCAGTGGTTCGACATGCTCTCCAACTTGTGCTTCCTTCGGTTGATGTACAGTCATTATCATCATGGAAGTATGCCTTCTTGGACGGACAACGACACCTTGCTTTCACACAAGCTTGACGGCCTTATTGCTCTGGCCCAATGTTTGTCGAACATGGATGGTGTGTTAGACGAGATTCCTTCAAATCTCGCCAGCACGGTGCCGCTTGAGGCCGAGGGTGACGGAGACCTCGCCGCAGACACAGGCACATCCGCAAGCGCGGTTTTTTGGGATCCGGAGCTTGTCGAAGAAGCCTTTGGCGTCCAGTTCCCCAGTGCCTAGGCCCCAACAAAAACCATTTCCTATTCAATTTCTTCTTCGTTGTCAGACACATGTAAAGCAACCTTGTCCTGTCGTACTCCTCTTAGGCAAGGTGCATATGAGAGTCTTGCACACCAAGTGGGCTCGGGCCATGGCGCAAGGACTTAAGTGGGTGGAAACGCAAAGGTACCGATCCAAAAGCCTGAACGCAATGAAATTTGCGCAGGCTGGTGAGTGGGTAGTGTTGGGGGACTCCCAGCACATCATGGCCATAGGAGTGTGCGCCGGAAAGGTTGTGCGAGGGTGCAGAGACATTCTCAGCAGCGGTGTCCTTGACCACCTGGACGAGTCGCTACGAGCGGACCTGGAGAGTTACCTCAATGTCGCTCAAAGCTTTGACTACATAACCTTCTCTAGCGTGTGCAACCTGACCGCAGGCGAACCCATCCCATGGAAGAGCTTCTGGAGTCTGCAAAGTGCAAGAAACCCGAAGAATAAGCAAGGTTTCCCGCGTGTTGGAGGACCAGACTTGGCCCCGGCACTATTTTTGTGGACCCAGCAATTAGGAGCTGAATGGATCACTCCTTATGGCAACCCCGGTGAAGAGTCTGAGTAAGTTTGTGTAGTGGCAAAGCCAGTGCCAAGACAGCAGAATTTGCGTTTCCCAGAAAAGTAGTGCTTTCCATTGTCGCCATGGAAATGAACACTGTGATTGAGTTTGAATGTGTTGCTTTCTCTATGTAGCCATGTTTCTGTGGTCCGAACGCGGAGTGGAAGTACGTCGCGCAGCTCCGCAACGGACTTGGAGCTTCATGGCCCCACAGGACTGTCTCGCTCATTTTTAAGACACGGACCATGTGCTGTGACATTTTGCCCACGCCTCTCTTTTTTCTCTTACACCCGCCGTGGCCACCCAGAATCTGCGAGCCTGCGCAGTCGAAATGCGCTTCGAGGATTTCGAGAGGCATGAATGTACTGTAAATAGCAACGAACTAGCCGGACACGGCCACGCGACGCCTCGATTAGCGTCCTGCAGTTTGCTGTCACAGCCACCATGAGCTATGAACGCAACGTGGATAGGATAATTCCTAGCTCGTGATCAGGGCGTATTTGCCTTGAGCGGAGTGTGGGCATTGTACAGCTGCATCCTTTGAGCTCGATTTTGTGTGCGGCATCCTGACAAAAAGACAGTTCCATGGGCCCTACCTTTCAAAGCCCCGTGGACAGCGAAACCGTTGAAAAAATTGCAATGCAAAAACACAGTTCCATGTCCAGGCTCACAGCGGCTGAGCGCTGGTCAGTTGTCCTGGTTTGTTCCGGGAAGGAGTTGAGGGAGGAAAAGGTGAAGGGCAAGGTTAAAAAAAGGGAAACGATGTCCAAGAAGCTGCCTAAAACATTTGCTGCCACGAAGAGCAGTTTGTGCAACCCAACATTGCGAACTATTGCGTCCCCAGGTTGGGCACCCCACCCAAACTAAACACAAATATGTTGTCTTTTTTCATGTTTTCTGGGCAGCAACTTTGAAGCAATAATTGCCAATGTTGGCGGCAACGTTTGGACAGATATTCCTATACTGCCTCCAGTTGTTTGGGAGCGGTGTGGTGTGAAAACAATATTTCTGATTTTCGAGCCACTTGCGCAAAGGAAAATGGGTATACTCCAAAACAAAAAAGCATGGCACAGGCTTTTTGAGTTGCGCCATCTACTTGACCTTGTACGCTCGTTGAGTTGCGCCCTGTTGAGGAGTTGAAGTTGAGCGCATTGCCCTTCTTGTCACTAACTTTGCTTCGTTCTTGGTAAGGCTCGCCAAGCCAGAGAAGGCTTCCCGAATTCATTGCCAGCATTCCCATCATTCCCCAAACAGTGTGGTCACACTGAGGGTTTGTTACGGTAGGTGTTAAGGGCTCTGGACCCCAATGCGAGATCTCTAGAGTTTCTGCTGCTACGCCTCTAGACCTCACACACACTGTTTGGGGTCTCTACCCGGGATCGATATAGGCACTTTTTATGGACGATATTGAATCATGAGGCACACTTGAACTTGGGTCCAGGAAGCGCCCGCGGCGGCAGAAGATGCTTACCAAGTCAACAGCACGCCGCCTGAGGAGGAATCTCCCGGGTATGCTGCTACTTTGGCGCAAGCTTTGCAGCAGGGGGAATCCCCAGAACGGGCAGCAGCGCGTCACAAGGTCTTGGAATTTCACTTAATGACTTTACTGTACCTTTTTTTCCTTCAGGCATGTTTGCGCCTGCGTTGGCCACAGTTCGTGTCAGGACCCGGAGACTAAGAGTCCCCCACCCACAGCTGCAACGCAGCACAGTGGGCAGAGTGATTCTCCAGGGCCGAAGCTGGTGGACAATTTCTTCCACTTCGAGTTCTCAGATGCTGTTGCCAACAGGGAGCAGCAAAGGGCAGAGCAGCCAGACTTTGTCCACCAGGCTCTCTCTTCTTTGGCTGGTCTCTCCAATGTGCAGGACATCAACCAGCGCATGTTCCCACCGAACCTCTTCGACGGGATGAGCAGCCAGCAGGATACCATCTCCACCATCCACGCATGGCTGCAACAAGCATGGTTGGACGCCCAAACAATGTCGCATAGAGATCTGGCGACGCAGGATTTTGATCTGCGATTGTGTGGCCCACTTCCATGGGTCCGCGCGATGCAGGCCATTGCCCTCCACGATGGCCTTTGCCCTGAGTCGCTCAACTTGGCATTGGATGCCAACATTGGCTTCATGGAGCACCACGCCACTCGCCTCCTTCATTCCCCAGACAGCACCCACAGGGGGGTCTCCCCAAATCCTTCCGTCATGTTGGGCGCCGCGGTCTCTGCTCGCAAATCGCACATCACCGAGCTGACCGACGGGTTTCTCGCAGACGCTGAGCCGGCAGATGCAGAGGGTAAGCCGGGGTACATCAAGCAAAGGAAAATCACATTTTCGGATGCAACCCTGGCAGGCATACGCAAGGCTTTGAAGACCTACGGCAGGGCAATTGTCTCAAGCGGGGAAGCTTCCACAGTGTATGAGACACCATTTTCTGGTCGTCGGCCAGGTGTCCACTATTTGCCGGAGCATGTGATGAACAAACTCACTCAGAGCGAGATGGACGATGCTATTACTGCAGGGGTAGACACCCACTTGGGGGACGCAGACCACCCATACCTTATGCTGCACAAGATCTCCGGGCAGCAGGACCGAAGCACCTTGTTTGACGTCGCCATATACACTATATACCTAGTATGCGTCAACCCAAAACCTTTGCCCACATGCTTGCAGGAAGTCATCGATACAATCCTCAAGCCCGCGACGCACGGCTTTCAGAAGCGCTTCTGGTTCGCCGTAACACCAAAAGGCTTGCAGCATGACGATTCTGCGCCGGTGCAAAGTGCATTGACCTTGGTGGCCAAGCTTCACACGTGGATGTTTGACCACTTCTTCTACCATGAAGAGGACAGTGCCCAACACAAGCACGTCTTGGATGGGTACGCGCTGCACCTTTACGAGTGCTGCAAAAAGGCCTGTGAAGATTTCAAAGCAGAACACACTGATTTGGACCAGTACGTCGAGGCCAAAATTGATTTCAGACATTCAGACCTTCTGCGCGCCAGTCATATTGCCATGAGGAAAGTGCAATTCCTCCACAGCATAGCGCTGGGAGACTCTTCCAGGCCACCCCGAACCAGCCCATCCATTTATGAATTTTGCTTCGCTCTCCACAACTGGAGGAGGCAAATCTGCCTCCACTTTTGCTACCTCCAGTGGATGCAGCGTGTTGGGGCCAAGCTTCTCATGGAACTAGCTGCGGGCTCCAAGTCCGCGGAGGCGCAGAAAGCTCACTATGTTGCAGGAGAAGGTGCCTTCACTGCACATAGGCACCAGGACCCGCAAATGTGCATGTATTTATGACCAACTCAGGCTTGGAGGGGGACGACTACTTCAAATACAGGATCCTCACAGACATGTCCGGCGCCTTCAGCACCAATACCATCAGGTTGAAGTACCGCAACAGTAAAAAGACCAAGGATGGGTGTTGCGTCTCACATCTCGCATTAAATTAGTAGCGCATGTCACAGGTGGGGCCTTGTAAGTTTCACCTCCCCAAAATGGTCCTTATCACGGCAGGAGCTCGCAAAAGCAGACAAGATCAAGCAAATTTGCGAAGAATTGGCGGGGCACGGGTTGCTGTGCAAGGTCGAGGGTGGAGATGCCGAAGAGCCGCCCCAAAAAAGGCGCCGCAAAAACAAGGAGAGAGTGATCTGCTATGAGAAGCCCAGCTTGCACACTCTGTCCGCCGAGGCTGCTCAGGAGCGGGAACGGCTTCTCGTTCGATCTCAGGCCTTCCCGTAGCAGAGTGTCGCCAAGCGTCCACTAGGGTTTTGTCACTCTGATGGCCAAGCCATGGTCTATGAGTGCGAGAATTTAATTTGGCTTCTGTGTCCGGCAGCGGGGTTCCCGGACTATGTGGAGCGTTCGTCATTTTACTTGATTCCACCCAGTTGCTTTCTGTGATGCCCAAGCAGCGGTATCACGTAAGTGCTTCATCATCGAAGGCATGACTCGCAAAAGTCACGTCGTCCAACAGCTCGGTCCACCCAGCTTGTTTTCCCCACCGCCCAAATGCTCAGGAAGATGGGGCAGAGTTTTCAGCAACTGCACCAAAAAAGCAAAACGTCTTGATTCAGAATGCCTGCTGCAGAAACATCTTTTTCCGCTGGGTCGGAACATTGCCAAAGAGGCACTCTAACAGGTAACCGGGAACAAATAGCTCTCAGGGCCACCAGAAACTTGGAAACTTTTGAACTTCCAAATTCATGTTTTCAGGCTTGCCCGCTGACTGTTGCTTTTCAGGTGAGGGCGCTGGTTATGACCCACTGGGCGGGTCAACCGCGATTGCGGGCCGCGTCATCCAGACTCAGAGTCGCCGGCTGCTGGTCTATTGTCCGGTCTGGGTGTGTTCGGGGAAGCAAAGTATACATTCTCGGGGGGATGTGTTCTGAAGGCGCGTGAAGCACAAGCTGAAATACCGCTAGCTGCTAGCAAACGCCTCGGTCTTTGACCAACACCTCTCACCAAACGTCCATAGACGTGTCATTCAACCAAACCGTGCTTGAGAGGTTGCAAAGACATCGGACCGATAATGACGTGAGCCCCTTTTGTGAGGTATGCGCGCAGATCGATCTTCAGAATGAAACTTGCTGGCAGCGGCGTGCTACTGCAGCTTCCAGCTCTTTGTTTCCACGGACGCTTGGCGCTGAAAGCAGGCGTATATGTGGCCTGGCCAGAGACATGGCCATCATAAAATTGCTGCCTGATTGAAAGGCGGGAGGCTTGTGGAAATACGGGCAGACCATGGACTGCGCCCTTAGCCTTCCAAGACTGTTTCTGTTATGGTTGACCTAGTGTCGTTATGTCAAATCCTTAGTTGCGGAATAGTTGGAAAGACTGTGGACTCAATGGTGGTTCACACCCTAGGAATGCTGCTACAGCATTTCTGTTGGTAGACGACGAGTAGTCTTTTTGTTTCGATTCTATGCTCTTGTCCCAGCGAATCCTTTTGTAATTGTCTAGGGTCTACGCAGGTAAAATTAGCTCCAATCTCCAAGAAGAGGACCC